GCAAGACGAAAGCGACAAAGCTCAGTGCGACACAGTCTTGCAGAGCCTGCAGAGCGTTACTCCGTACCCCCCTCCCCCCCCCGATCGACAGTAGCGCCATTTGCTTCTGTTTATAGACTCCAACTCGACCAGTTAGACTAGTATTCTTTCAAATATTTAGAATATTACAATATTTTTTCATCCCTACCTATACTGATATGAGTTTTATTTTTAGGTCTCCAAAGTTATCGGCAGTAGAGCGAAGTATCCTGTAAGATTTGAATTCAGCTATCTTTTTTTGTACGCTTTTACGTTCGGTTTTTCGTTTATTTTTGAGTGAGCTGCTAAAAAAGCACATCTTTTTTCTCGTTTGTTAGACAGAATTATGATGGTTCCGAAATTCTCTGAAAATTGCAAGAAATCTGTGATAACACTTTTACGGGTGCTTCGTTCGGGGGACAAAAGGGTGCTAATCAGCACCGCTTAACTGGACGCCACTGAATGGCGGCCGTACCTTGTTTTTATGGTCAATATGCTTTGTAGCATTGAAATATATAAGATACAAATTCAATATATTATAAATAATGGTCAAAACTAGCTAGATTAAGCATTGATTCTCACCCGATCCACATCTATGCTTTGGTTTTTTACAGATCGTCAGAATTGTCTTCGATAGCTCCGAGTACATAGTGAGATTTGGAGCCCTATTGTTTTATCGATTTCGTTTTTTACCCAATCTTTTGCTAATTTTTCGCTGATATTTCTTTGTATTCTCATCATGGTCTTCGTTCAAGTCAGAAGCGTGGCACTTTCGTAGGTAATTCAGAATCCTTTTGATTTTTTTCGTTTTTCAGCAGTGACGAGGAAGAGTTTTATGACGCTGATGAAGAGCTGATTGATCTGGACAAGGTGAGTGCCTACCTCTTTCTAGTCATAACTGTGTTTCTTATGACCGCTTTATGCCATTTTGCCAACAAAAAAAATAGGAAAAATAAATAAAAATTCGGGGTTTTAATGAAAAACCACGGGAGCCTGACCAGCTTTTTCTGCCGTGCCACCTCCGCGAGTTTTCATGGGAATCGATGAAGTTATTTTAATGCGTAGTGGTTTGTTGTATCTCAGTTGTTATGCAGAATCACTTCTGCTTTTTTCACGTCCGTGCAGCCAATTTTGCTGTTTACGTAGGAGATTATCATTTTGTAAGGCTGCCCCGTTCGTTGCCATGGGACTTCGTTCTATCATCCACAATTCGTCTTCTTTTTTTACTGTTTAAGATATTTATGAACTTACTTGGATGTTCGGTTGCTTGGTTACTGTTCTTTATTTACTTGTAGATATTTGTCGCCGTCTGTATGATCTAAGAGTTGATTGATGTAATTCAGACTGACGTGGCAATCCCTGATGGTCCGATGAGGGAAGGCGGACAATTTCGATTTTGGCGACTCTCATGAAGATTTCGATGAGATTTATGACAATGCTGAAGAACACGACGTCGGTAATGTTCAACAGGAGCACGGCTCAGTGCTGGTCCATCTTCTCAGCCAGGTGTGTGGAATCTTCGTTTTAAGATCGCTTGTTCCTGTTACTTGTTCCTGAAATCGTTGTTTTATGTTACTTGGAAGCAGGGGGTGTGATCGCTGTGGGCGGGCGGTTGTCGCCAGCTGTTTGGTGGAAGGGTAGAGTGAAGTGTGGATGCATGGCGCATACCAAGGAGGGGCTGGTTAATGCAGAACCCTTCGTGGCCTGTAGCGATTGGTATGATAGGGAGAAAATACGAACCACTGCCCCAAATATGGTATATTTATCATGTCAGTTCTAATGGTAAGGTGGATTGTGGACCTTTCACTCGTGTCCGTACGACGCGCAGAACCAGCCAGCAAGCTGCAGCAGGTGAAGTCAAACGGGTAAGTGCCGTGCCTAATGAGACAGCGCTTTCGGTAGCTTCGCCTGGACGTGGATCTCACGTCCCATACCCAAAAAAGGATGCGGTTTGCCTTGGTGGGGCATCGTGCTAGTTCCCATCAATCACCGCCGATGCCTCCTCGATCATCTGTGAGTTTCTGTGGAGGTATGCAATAGCGAGAGCGTTTACAACTGGCACACGTGTACAGGTGTGACGCGTAATCTAGTAGAAATTAGCAAAAGGAATCGCCAAAAGTGCAATTTGCCCCTCCCAAGCCCTTAAACAGTTAAACTGTGACGAGCGTGGATGTGTTGAGGTTTCAAAATTATCAAAATTACCATTTTTACTAAATGCCCTCGATGCGTGATTGTGTTCGCCTTCAAAGACTGCGAAGAGCGGATGAACCAGCTGAGTAAGTAAAATACTGTTGACGTCAACAAAGCGTTTTCCGCCTTCCGTGAATTCCTGAGATTGTGAGATCGAAAAACCTCCCCCGTTTAGGTTAGCATTGGAATGGATCTCACGAAGGTCACACTACCGACGTTTATCCTGGAGCGCCGTTCATTATTGGAAATGTACGCCGATTTCTTCGCCCATCCTGATGCCTTTGTAGCCACAGTGGAGCTAGAAACACCCCAGGAAAGATTTATGTGAGTTCGCCTCATAGTTCCAATGTTTTTTTTTCGGATTTTCATGGAATTTTTTGGTGTTTTTCGGTTTCAAGTTCCAGATTTGGATGTGATTCTTTTAAGATCGGTGGTAAGATACTATTTGAACGCCTTCTATGCTGCTAGAAAAAGTGGTGTAGCGAAGAAGCCATACAATCCCATTCTTGGAGAGACATTCCGTTGCCGGTTAGTTCATCCTCTCTTTGCTTTCTCGATTTCTTTTTGGTGCTGCTATGTGCCCCGGGAATGGCCATTGATTAGGTTGGCCATTTTAAGCCACGTCGTATTTTGACGCGACAAAACCACGTCATACTGGGTAACATATTTTGACGTTGACTACATGTGACGCTAAGGCAGTGTTCAGACTTCGCGATGACGCGCGTCGACGCGCTACGACGCGCTGTTACTGCTATGGCGCTCCAGTGCTATGGACGACAACGCAGCCACATACGAGTATTGATCGGCCTTGGTCGCTATTGCTCTGAGAGGCTGTAGGAGAATAGGGAAGTACGCGTTGCCTAATCACGCATTCTGGTACCCTCCCATTCTTCTATACTCTCACAAAACACCAGCAACCGAGGCCTTCGATCGATACCTGTCTGTAGAACTGGAGCGCTCTTCCAATGGTACTGCGCAGGCGCGAATTCTGAACGCTGCCTTAGCCCCTCTAAAGAGTCTCAGTGAGAGGTTACAGGTGAGCAGAAATGACGTGACTTAGCCCCGCTGATTAATGACTGATCCCGGAGCACATAGCCCCTTTAAACGTGCCACAAA